GATCAGCGGTTTTGGCTTAAGGATGGAAAAAGTTTGAGAAGCCCTCCGCAAAGTCATCTGTTTGTCTCCAGAACAGAAGAATTCCTATCAGTCTTCCTGCAGCTTTCCCTCGACTTACGTCCAGCTGGACCTGTTTTTCTCTTTTTCTGTCTCTTTTCTCCCCCTCCCTCCCTTCCCCCCGGGCTGCCTGCAATCAGAGCAATTGCCCATCGCAGAGCAGCCATTCATTTAGCTTTCATCTCGGTTCCCATTTAAAAGCAACAAAAAATGATTGAAGAGCCAGAAGAGAGTCAGCCATCAGGCCAGATTAGCAGGGCTAAATACCAAAAAGCTTATCTTTGGGGGAGGGGGAGGAAAGGGGGGGGGGCAGGACCAAACAATAGGTCACTTTCTCATGAGGAGAGAGCATCCTGCACCAGCATATGGGCCCACAGCCCTGTGCTGTTGTTCTGGCCAGCCTGGTACACCCACTGCGGCCTATCGCTTGTGCTGTGTGTATATGGGCAGAAAGATAAAATAGAACTGATGCCAAAAGACAGGAAAGAGGGAAAGCTCAGGTTGCATAGGTAGAAGCAATGGGTGGAAACTAATCAAGGAGAGAAGCAATGTAGAACTAAGAGAAAATTCCTGACAGTTAGAACAATTAATCAGTGGAACGACTTGCCTCCAGAAGTTGTAAATGCTCCAACACTGGAGGTTTTAAAGAAAAGATTGGATAACCGATTGTCTGAAATAGTATACGATCTCCTGCCTGAGCAGGAGGTTGGATTAGAAGACTTCCAAGGTCCCTACCAATTCTATTATGATCCTATTCTATTCTAAATAGTGGGAGGAATCGAGAAAGATCAAAAGGTTGCGTAGGACTCTTGAAGCATTCCCCTTGTGGCGGCGTCCTCTCTTCCCATGCTACTGTTCCATACTAGCAGGCTTGTAGGCCTGCATTCCTATTGGTCCGGAAAAACCGGGCCGCGATTGGACGTTGTAAAGCACTCCTGATTGGTTCATAAAGGGATTGCCGCGATTGGGCAAAGCCAAGCGCGGCAAACTCAAAAACCTGTCATTGGCTGCCTAGCCGCGGCCAGCGCTATAAAAAGAGCAGCCACGGCTAAGGCGATTGTCTCAGAATCTGCTTCCTTAATAAAGAGCTGTTGTTCACTACCTACGCCTCGCCTCTCAATGGGACCCACCGACCATACTTAACAGCTACCACTTCGGATTGCCAATCCTTGACGGATCCTCCAGATGTGTGGAAGGTGATTCAGTTACGAAGGAAGCCCTTTCTAAATACAGGTAGTACTGATTTATAATCAATGTTGATCGTTAATGACCGTTCACAGTTACAGTAGGCCTAATGACTTTGTGATTTGCTTAATGGCGGTAGCAAAAAAAAAAGGTTGTAGAAACAGGTGCAACTCACTTAGCAACAGAAATTCTGGTCCCTATTGTGGTCGCAAGTGGAGGACTACCAGTGCAATTGCATAGATGCAAGTACAGGAACGCATGGAAGCATATCCTGCCCTATTCCCTTGACCCCATGTCCATCCCTCCTTCAATCTTCTCCAAACAAAGGCTTTGGTGGTGGGGTTGATTTTTAAATGTCCATTCCTATTCTAGAGAAATGCATTCTTACGTGGAATTTGGAGTAATTTGACACAAAATGGGACACCTCTCCATGGTTAACTCTCTGCGACCATCTCACCATGGCCAACTTGCTGCGGGAAACTTGCTGTGGGAACTTGCTGTGGGAAAACTCACCACAAGATAACTTTGTTAGGAATGTAAGTCACCTAACAGTTGAGTTGGAAAATATATTTACCAGGATAGACATTTTACTACTGTCTCTTTAAGGGAATGCTAAAATTGTAATTGGGTGTGGTTCCTCAAATGGCCATAAGATGGAGCCAGAAACTTGGGTTGTTCTGTCCTGTTCTGGAGAGTGTTGCCGTTCCTGCATTTCCCTATTGATTGTTGCTGATCATCGTTAGTCTTGGATTGATGTGATCTGTTACTGAACTGTTTTTGATACTGGACTTTGTTATTTGGATTATCCCTGGACTGAAAACTGACTGCTTTAACCGTGAATGACTTGGACTGTGCTTGGACTTTGCTTAACCGTTCACTGGAAGTAAAACCTACATTTTACTATACAGTGTAGCTGTGTGCTGTTTGTGTGTTATTCTTCACCACTCTCACTACGTCTCCCTGTGTGCGCTCATTCTCCTAACGGGGAATTACACCAACAAACTCCACACGGGATAACTCAATGTGATAAATATTATCTGCCACTGTTTCTTTAACATTATTTCCATGGACAAAAATATGGAAATAATATAGTAAAAACAGTGGTGAATAACATTTATGGCACTGAGTTATCTCACGGGGATTGTCACCTGGCGAACTACCCTGCAGTGAGTTGACCGTAGCAGTTTGTCCCAAAGCAAGTTGAATGAGGCAAGATGGCTGTGCCAGGTTGGCCACAGCAAGTTGGCCATGGCAAGTTAGCTGTGGCAAGATGGCCACGGTGAGTTGGCCACAGCAAGATGGCTGTGACAAGATAGCTGTGTTAAGTTGGCCACGCTGAGTTGTCCTAGGCCCGTTTGAAATTGGAGACAGAACAATGGCCGATAACCTGTTTCCCATTTCTCTTTGCCACACTGTTCATTCAATGTATTCTTTCTGTCGTGCCTCCATTCCGCATTAAGCTGCACTTTAAAAAAAAAAAATCCATACATAAATGAATATATTAAAATATATTTTATTCCCCCCAGTACAAAATTCAATAAGTACCTTTCTAAAAAACACACACTTTGATTTTTAAAAAAATATAGATAAAAATTTCATTGGAACATTTAGGACAAGTCAAAATTAGCCAAACATTAGCTTGCATCTTCATTCAAATGGTGGACATTCTGCTCCGTTTGCAATACTATTTGCAATGCTGCCATCTTAACCCCATTTCTCCAGGGACACGAACCACCCTTGTGTCATGATAAAACTTCAATGCAACAAATAACATAACCAGAGCCAGGGAGCTTTCTCCACACCAATAATGCTGCTAGACTTAAATACATTTATTTGAGATTTACTTCCACGTCAAGATGGTTAAACTGAATTACGGATCTGAACTTTTCATTTGCTGCTTTCTCCTGGGTGTGTATAACTTGGGCGTGTTTTCTTCGTTGCTGGGAGCTATTATATTTTGTAGAACCATGTTTCTCAACCTCAACCAATTTAAGCTCTGTGGGACTACAACTCCCAGAATTGAAGCACCTGGCAACCAGCACCCATTTACCAGAGTTGCAACTTTCTGGGGTCATGTGGTTGCTGTTAAGTAATCTTCCCAGCTGGCTTCCAACAAGCACCGTCAATGGGGAAAGACTTGTGATTCACAACTGTAGTGATTTCCTTAACAATGTGGCAAAAAAAAAGGTTTTTAAACAGGATATAATTCACTTAACAACTGCCTTACTTAGCAACGGAAACTCCGGTCAAAATTTGGGGTGTAAATTGAGTATTGGTACTTCCGATGGGCCCCTGTCTATCACTTCCCATCGTGCCAATAAGCATCTTGATCATATTTGATTCTTGCATCTAATCTGGCACACAATCCCAACTCTGTTCCTGCTCCTGAGTTGATTTTCCTGCTTAGTTACCTTTCTGAGAACTTCCATTGAATGTGTTACCTTAAAACTCTTAAAACTCTACCTAGTTTTGGTACCCAGGTTTTTTTCTTTTTGCTTTTATCCAGGTTGGGCCTCTCCTTTCCGCCTTAATTACACCACTGCGGAAGAAATTCAATAAAGGTGTACCATATTGCTCTTCAGAAACAAATAAGTACTCTCGTTAATGCCGGCGCGAGGGAACCCTAGTATTACTAAGAAAATTAAAACTGTGTTATATATTAACACAGTTTTAATTTTCTTACAACTACAGCCTCCTTTGTGCCAGCTATAAGGGGATTTGGAGTCAGTTTTACAGAACAGTAGCCCAACACGCTTATTTGATACGTCATTGTGGTTTTTCACTTTTTCTCCCCCAAAGAACTATTGAGGTTCTTGTTTGTGTGAGTTTTTGGAAACCTCTGATTGCAGACAGTCCTTGACTTACAACAAGCTTGTTTAGTGGCCATTCAAAGTTATAATGGCACTGAAAAAAAGTCACTTACGACCGTTTGTCACCGTGATGACTTTTTCAGCATCCCCATGGATCACAATTCAAAAATTGAGAGTCTGGGCCACCGCTTCGTATTTATGGCCATTGCTGTGTCCCAAGATCATGGGATTTTCCCCTTTTGTGACCTTCTGACAAGCACAGTCAACGGGGAAACCAGATTCATTGAACAGCCTACATCAGGAGTATCAAACTCTGTTAGGAAAGTCTATTAAATCTGGGCAACCTTATTTGGCATTTTATCCCAGTTACTGGATGGTTGGGCAAAGAATGTGTCAGTTTAGAAAGAGTTAATCAACTGCACCCTCTGTTCTTTTCATACTCCAACATTCATCCCCTCCCTCTCAGAATTTTTTCTCCTTATATGGAAGACTGGGGTGGGTGGGGGGCGCTCGCTTTAGTGCCAGTGAGGGTTGAGTGGGGCTGTAAGAATTCATGGAAACCCCTCTGCTCAGACCATTTGGTAATCTTAGCAGTATTTCTCAACCTTGCTCATTTTAAGCGGAGTGGACTTCAACTCCCAGAATTCTCCAGCCAGCTTTGCTGGCTGGGGAATTCTGGGAGTTGAAGTCCACACCTGTAGTGGTATTCAAATTGTTTTTACTACTGGTTCTGTGTGCGTGGCTTTGGTGGGAGAGGTGTGGCTTGGTGGGCGTGGCAGGGGAAGGTTAGTGCAAAATCCCCATTCCCTCCCCACCCCACTAGCCTGCTTTCCAGCTCCGTTCTCCTGTGCAGGGCAACCAAAGAAGACCCAGCCGATCAGCTGGGATTCAGGAGGTGGAGAATAAATGGGGGGTGGGACCAGTCAGAGGTGGTATTTGCCAGTTCTCTGAACTAGTCAAAATTTCCACTACTGGTTCTGCAGAACCAGTCAGAATAGGCTGAATACCACCTCTGGTCCACACCACTTCAAGTGACCAAGGTTGAGAAGCACCGATCTTAGAATTGAAGAATGGACTCCATCTTCAATTTAACAGGGAAAAAGCCAGGAAGATATATCTTTTCCGGCTCTAAAAGCACCGTCGTTTTCCCCTGGTATCCAAGAAGGGGATCTTGACTGGGTTCCAAGACAGAAACTGGGCCAGCCTCCAGCACTGTGCTTTTGATAACAGAATGGAGAGCATTTGGCAGGTGTGTGCAGCCTCAGAATATAAGCAGCTTCGTGGGATAAAATGGTTTTGGAAAAGTAAAGCACATCTCAATCCAACTACAGCCATATCCTTCCCTACCTGCCACTGTATCCAAGCCCTTCCCCGTAAGATCTCGTTTTACATTGTCCGTTGTCCTTGGCTGCAAAGCGAGCTTTAGGGATTCTAACACACCATCCATTCCAGCAGCTCTCGTCTGGAAGACTTATCAGAGGCCAGCAAATTAGGTTGCCTTGCGGTGTGCTCTGTTCTAAAAGCTGCATGGGAAATCTCAGCATCCAAAACCTAATTGTCTAAATTTTGAGGATGCAAAATACAGCTTCTTGGAGGACTAAGGTGGCTGGTTCTTACCTAGGTGAGTCAGATTTCCAGCCAATAACGTTGAAGTTCACATCTCAAGACGGATGAGACCCATCTGTCGGTTTTTAAGGAAGCTAGGAGCAGAAGGCACAAATCCATTTCAGCATCTCAGCATCCCATTTCAATGACTATAACCGCCTGGGTGTCATCTTCACAAGTTCCATTTTAGTGACTATAACCAGTTGGGTGTCATTTTCACAAATTCCATTTTAGTGACTATAAACGGCTGGGTGCGATCTTCACAAGTCCCATTTCAGTGACCATAACCAACTGGGTGCGATCTTCACAAGTCCCATTTCAGTGACCGTAACCAGCTGGGTGTCATCTTCACAAGTCCCATTTTAAAGATCAAATCTGGCTGGGTATGATCTTCACCATTTCAGACCTGGGTAGCATTCCGCACAGTCCTGATGCCAGGTCGTACAGCTGGGGCAGAGGAAGTGCCTTCCCTGATACCAATAGGCTGCGTGGAACCAGGAAAAGAGAAATAACAGTATCGTTAGCAAACTGTTCAGAATGGAGATAGAAACAAAACTTTGTTCTTGACTACCCCTTCTTTTCAGGGGAGCTTGATGGAGGAATAGGGGTGGGCTGCTAAGGGGTCGCATGGGTTCGGATGAACCCTCAGTCTGTTCTTTTATTTCTGCAGGTTTGAAGCTCAGCTGAGGTGCAGCACAGCGGATTACCGCGCCTCAGCTGTTTTACTCACCGGCGTTGAAGTGGAAAGTAAGTCGTAAAGCTGTAAAAGGGTGGATTTGTAATGTTCTGGGCATGCACAGAGCGTGTGCTGACTGAACCAGTTGTGAAACCGGTAGAAGCCCACCACTGTGGAGGAAGGCTATCTCTGTGGAGAAGTGACCTGTCAGGATTCCAGCAGTTACCCCCAATTAAATCATGAGTCTCGAGCCAAACTTCCAAAACTTAAAAAGGATTTATTGGGAGTTAACATGTCAAGCACTGCCTGGTTGTAGCTGACTCTGAGACACATAATTCATTGTCACCCTTGACCCTGGTTCCCCACCCCCACCCCCTGGGTGGATCGTAATTCATATTCTCCAATGGGACACATCCATAGCCAAGAGTCATCAATCATGCTCTCCAGTTAGAATTTTGCACAGCAGAAACTTCAGTCACCTAGTTACTATCTTTGAAAACTATTTATGGAATGCACTTTCGATTTCCGAGCTGCTGCTCCCCCCTCCCTTTCTGTTGGCAACTCTAAAAAGACCATAGAAATATTTTATGAGTTGACATGATCACTGTAACTGGTCTGAGTGACTACCATCCAAACACTGAGAGCACCCAAGTATTGATACAAGTTTGAAGGCGAGGTCCGTTTTACTCAGAAAAAAAAATTGAATAATTTTATGAGGAGCTGAAATTGTTTCTGTAAAAAGTTGCAGTATTTCTCAGCAAGGTTTTTAAAATCCCTAGCCGAGGCATGCTAGTTCTCAGATTTTGTCATTGGCTCAGTGAACCAGGGAAAAACCAGTTTAAGTTAAAAGGCAGGCTTGTCGTTCAGATGTGGCGTGGGGGAAGAAAGAAGGGAAAAGAAAGAGAAAAGAGGTAGGGTGAGGAAAGTTGGAAGAGGGGAGCAGCACAAAGGACCTGTAGTATTGGAAACAATGTCAGCTCCAACAGAAATTTATTTAAGGCAATATTAGTAAAGGTAAAGGTTCCCCTCGCACATACGTGCTAGTTGTTCCTGGCTCTAGGGGGCGGTGCTCATCTCCGTTACAAAGCCAAAGAGCCAGCGCTGTCCGAAGATGTTTCCGTGGTCATGTGGCCAGCATGACTAAACGCTGAAGGCGCACAGAACGCTGTCTACCTTCCCACCAAAGGGGTCCCTATTATTCTACTTGCATTTTTACATGCTTTCGAACTGCTAGGTTAGCAGAAGCTGGGACAAGTAACGGGAGCTCACTCGATTACACTAGGGATTCGAACCGCCGAACTGCTGACCTTTCTGATTGACAAGCTCAGCGTCTTACCCACTGAGCCACCGCGTCCCTCCGAAGGCAATATTGGGGGGGGGGAGGCTGCAAAACCCCATCATCTTTACCAGGCATGACAACAAGATCTCTCTCCCAGAAAAAATAAAATCAAATCAGAAGATATTGGTTTGCAGTGCTTGGTTTCTCCGTGTAGGATTAGGAGAGGGTTTGGAATTAATTTGTGTACAGAATAAATGAGAAATAAGGGGAATAGTATTTGGAGAATAAAACAGAAATTCCTCATTATACTCTGTGCTGGTCAAAGACACTGACAACACACCAGGGATCACCAGGGAATCTGAATAGGAAATGGTCTTCTTGCAACCAGACCTAGCTGCTATTCCGTTGCAAAATGCTTCTTACTCCCTGACTTACCAAGGTGGCTGGGCTGAGATATCTGGGCAGATGTTCCTCATAGGTGATGGCGTAGATGTCTGAGTCTCCCGATGACCATCGAGGATTATCCCAAGAGTCACTTGACTCAACTTTCTTCCCATTTGGGAACTAAAACCACGTGGAAAGAAAGCAAAGAAAGAAAGAGACTTTGAATATTAGATATTAGATTAACAGAGTTGGAAGGGACCTTGCAGGTCATCTAGTCCAACCCCCAGCCCCAAAGCAGGAGACCCTACACCATTTTTGACAAATGGCAGTCCAGTCTCTTCTTGAAAGTCTCAAGTGATGGCGCTCCCACAGCTTCCAAGAGCAACTTCTGTTCCATGGGATGATTGTTCTCACTGACAGAAAATGTCTCCTTATTTCCAGGTTGAATCTCTCCTTGATCAGTTTCCATCCATTATTCCTTGTCTGGCCTTCGGGTGCCTTGGAAAATAGCTTGACCCCCTCAAATATTGGAACACTGCTATCCCGTCTCCCCTAATTTACTTGGACTTCAGTAACGCATTTGATAAAGTAGACCATAACCTACTACTACATAAAGTATCAATGTATCCAAGTCACTCTGCACATCCTAGAAGGTTGTCTTCTCTTGTCTACCTTTGGTCTTCTGCCTAGTCGTGCCGCTTAATGGTTAACGCAAGGCTGATGAACATTCAACACTTTATTTGTTGACCCTGATATGATAATTGTGTGCAGGTAGACCTCAATTTATCAGTTCATTTTGTGACCATTCAAAGTCACAATGGCGCTGAAAAAAATTATGACTGTTTGCAGCACCCTGTGATCAGGTGACCATGATTTACTACATTTTTACTATTCACTTCTGGTTTCCGGCAAATGTACTCCATAGCAAACAATGGGATCCACGAATGACCGTGGCATTTGCTGAATGGCCCCGGCATTAATGCCGTGGCCATTAAGCCATTAAACAAAAAAGTCAAGCTATTCTCCAAAGCTCCATGCAATCGGTGGAAACTAATCAAGGAGAGAAGCAACCTAGAACTAAGGAGAAATTTCCTGATAGTTACAACAATTAATCAGTGGAACAACTTGTCACCAGAAGTTGTAAATGCTCCAACACTAGAGGTTTTAAAGAAGAGACTGGACAGCCATTAGTCTGAAATGGTATAGGGTTTCCTGCCTAAGCAGGGGGTTGGACTAGAAGACCTCTATAGTCCCTTCCAACTCTGCTATTCTATTCTATTCTATTCTATTCTATTCTATTCTATTCTATTCTATTCTATTCTATTCTATTCTATTCTATTCTATTCTATTCTATTCTATTCTATTCTATTCTATTCTATTCCATTCCATTCCATTCCATTCCATTCTATTTCTTAATAACCATGGCAATAAAAAGTAATAAGGTTGAATTGGTCACCTGATGAGCCAGTTTATGACTGTCACAACTTAACAGCTGAAACTGCGGCTCAACTACAGACGTAATTCGAGGACTACCTGTGCAAGAAGCCCTTCCCCTTTCTTTCCTGGGCAAATGTTCACTACAATCTCTGTGCTTGGAGAGTCAATTCCACTTGAGTGCTTTGATCAACAACCTCTTTCTACCAGTTATAAATGGGCATTTCCCAGTGAGTTTCACAGAGCAACAATCTGCCGTTTTTCAGATTGCCTCCAGTCTCTCATTATGCTCCCATCACTTTGGGTCTCACCTGGCGTGACAGATAGTGGTGTTGATTCTCTGGTGGCGTGGGTGGAGCTTTCTTCTTTGCTACAAGGAGTAAAGCAGATAAAACATCACTGTGACTTTGCAGTGAGAACGAGTTGTTTCCCCTTTCCATTAAAAACACGGGGAATGAAAACCCTCGACTTACAAACAGTTCGTTTAGGGATGCTTCAAAATGACAACGGCACTGAAAGAAGCGACTTACGGCTGTTTCCCACACTTATAACCCAGTGGGGGATTCAAATCGTTTTATCACCAGTTTGGTGGGCATGGCTTGGTGGGGTGCTTTGCCTAATGCCGGTGCACAGATTTCTCCATACCAGCTGAGACCTGCAGCGCCAATCAGCTAAGAGGATAAAGAAGGACAGGAGTGGGTAGGAAGGCCAATCCTGCACTTTTCTTTCTCCTGTCGAGGATTTTTATTCCTCCTCTCAGTTGATCATCGGCTTTTTTTACTACCGGTTCAGTAGAACCAGTCAGAACCGGTAGCATACCAGCATTGTTACAACCGTTTGCAGTATCTCCGGGGTCACCTGAATAAAATCCAGATGTTTGGCAACCAATTCATAATAACGACCTTGCAAAGTCCCAGGGTCGTGTCATCACCTTGTAGCACCCTTCTTGTAAACAAAGCCAATGGGGAAGCCGGATTCACTTAACAACCGTGTTACTGACTTAATTTAGCTGCAGCGATCCGCTTAACAACGGTGACGAGAGAGGTCTGAGGTAAAAATTCACTGAACAAATGTTTCACTGAGCAACAAAAATTTTGGGGCTCAATTGTGGTCGTAAGCCGAGGACTATCTCTAGTGTGACGAGGCGTCTTTTAAGAGGTCGCTTCTGTGTGACGTGGCTTCCATTTTAAAACTAATTTTCAGCAGAAGAGGCTGGGCTTGGTTTAATCCAAGCTTAAACAGCAGCTTCCATTTTGAATCTAATTGCCAAAATGTGTGTGTGTGTGTGTGTGTCAAAGAACTGAACCAAACTGAATTAAACTGGTTAGTTGTGGCTGCCTACACCAGACGAATCAGCGTAGCTTCCAAAATACCGCCCTCCCCCAAGAAACAAAGGGTTTAAACCCACATAAACCCACATCTAGAGCTGTAAACAGTACTAAACAAAGAAAAACACCCATCAGGGAAGCCGCCAATATAGAACCACAGTTAACCACAGGCCTGGGAAAAGAGTCAAGAGCTTTACCGAACCCAGGAGAATGGCTACCCTCTGTATCTTGTGGTAGGGATGGATGAGGTCATGATCTTCCAGAGAAAGAGGTCCATGATATAGAAGAGGGGGTCAAACTCAAAGCCCATGGGCCTTGCAGTGTGCTTAGAGCTGGAAAAAGCGAAGGACCAGCGCACGGGGCCTCTGCCAGAGAAAATGAAGCCCAGGGGAGCCACACCATTTTCACTGGTAGAGGGTTGCAGAAAGGCATCGCAGCCAAAAATGGGGCCAGGGGTTGTGCCCCATCCCGATCTCTGTTTTCATTGGCAGAAGGGCTAGCAAAAGATACTAAAAGCAAAACAAAACAAAAGGAGAAGTGTTTCCCCTTTTGCATTTGAGTGTGCAAGAAGGGCCAGGAAAGGAGAAAGGGGTAGAGGAAAGAGAAAGAAAAAGAAGGAAAGATGGGAAGAGAGCAACGAAGGAAAAAGAGGGGAAGAGGGGAAGGAAGAAGAAAGGAGAATGAAGAGGGGAGGAAAAAAGAAGAAAAGGAAGGAAGGTGGGAGGGAGGGAAAGAGGGAGGGAGGGAAGGAAGGAAGGAAGGAAGGAAGGAAGGAAGGAAGGAAGGAAGGAAAGAAAGAAAGAAAGAAAGAAAGAAAGAAAGAAAGAAAGAAAGAA